CTTCATTAGCCCAAAAAAGAAAAAGGAAATCCGTTTGTTTCCTCTCTTGTGGGCCACGTTGATGGAGCTTTGCAGAAGACTCCCACGTGTGAAGTAATTTGCTTCAGAAAGTCCCTCCTTTTTGTACTTTTCTGCTCCATTCCCTGAAATTAAGTCCAGATACCAAATATAAGTAGATATTAACAATTAAAACAATATTTGGCAGGGACAAGGGGAAAATTAATAGTAAAATAACAGAAAATTAACACCCCATCAATTTCCCCCACACCTGAACCATGCTTGCCTCAAGCATGAGAACAGCAATTGAACACCAAAATTGGACAATGGCTATTGCTCCAACTACCGTATTGCCAAGATACCTAGAGAAACATATATCAAGCATCACAGGTCAAGATCAAAGAAAAAATCACCCCGGTTAGCTTCCTAACCACCAACTCCTCCAATTTAAAGCAAACTAATCTAAGGAAAAGGAATGGTTGCTCACATTTATCAGCAAATGGTCCAACTATTAACCAAAATCTCAATATTAACCCATAGATCGGCAAGCTGACTTTTGTCACATTTGACACAGCCTTCACTTCTTTTTTCACACTTTTCTATTTTCTCTCTTTTTTTCCTTCTTTTGAGAATAGCAAAAAACTTAGTCTCTAGCCATTAGAGCCTTTTGACGCGAACTCCAACATTTGTCAGATGAAGGAGCTCGGTTACTCAACTCTTATCGTTATGTGACTACGTACTCATAGAAATTACTACCTTTTGACGCGAGAATCGATACTTTAGGTGAAGATCCCCAGTTACTTGGTAGTAGCAACTAGCGGAGAACAGTCAACTCTTATTTATAATCATATAGCACAATAACTAAAAACAACACAAAAGTAACAGCAGCCAGCCTCAAATTTCCAAACATGAAGAACTAAAATTAATAACTGGACCAATTCACATGAAAAATGCCAACAATCATTTCCTATGTCTAGAAAAGTTAACCAAAAATTATAAAATTCAAGCAATTACTGATTTCACTAGAGAGATGTTCCTGAACTCAACCGCATTAGCTTGATACCCTTTTATTACTAAAACTTGACAATATCAGAATTAGAGACAACAACCCCAGATCAAAACTTGGTATTTATATAAGAACTGACCACTAAAAAAAAGAAAAGAAAATAAACGAAAAGGAGATAAATATCAGACTAAAAAAAAGGAAAAACACCTAAAAACTGAAAACTGGAAATACTAGCACCAAAACTGATCCCCCCCACACCTAAATCACATATTGCCCTCAATGTGATAAACTAACAGCAAAAGGAAGGACAAAGGCAACAATACTTCCCTGAAGTCGTCAAAACAGGGGCGGGTCGGGCGGGAACTGAGGGGCAAGACCCGCATGGTGCATAAAAGATGCCAAATTCTGCGCCATGTTGTGCAAGTTGATGTCAATATGGGTTACTCGAGTCTCCAAACTCTCAACTGTGTTCCGGAGTTGTAACTAGTCGTCGGCCGTTGGGGTGGGAGGAGACGGAGCAAAGGTAGACGGGTCAGGATCACCGCTATCAGTGGAGGAGCGGGCAAAAGATGACCGAGGGGGGGCGCATAGCGGTCCAAGGGGAACAACCTCCCAACCGTCGTCACTCTCCCGAACCAAGCCCATTTTCTCTAAACACGGAATATCCAAGGGCTCCATTTGACAGACAACATGTAAATCATGACTATAGATATCAAGTACATGCAAATTAATAGCCAAATGAGTAATGTATGACCCAAGAATCAAGGGGCACTTCTTTTTAGGCAAAATAGATTTGAACTGAGAAGCGAGCCAGCACCCAAGATTAACCTTAATGTTGTTATGCATGCACCAAATAAAGAAAAATTTCGACTGAGACAGAATGCCCGAACTATCTCGCCTACCCGACAAACTGTAGGCTAAGAAACGCTAGATATAGCGAGACGCGGGGTCTTTTAGAAAACAACTCTTAGACTGACGGGGGTCATAATCAGCATGGTCGACAGACATATCCTCCCAAATATACCGATAGTGAGAGAAAAAAGGTTCTACGTAGTCACACGCAATCTCGACATACTCACGGGACTCGGCATAGGCCTAATCAATAAAACCAAGTGCTAGATTGAAATCAGTAATGGAATGGCGGAACTCTTGACCCATTAGTCTAAAACGGATGACATTGGGAGTAGAAACTGTGTAACCCGTGGGAAGGTCGAACTCAAATGTGGCATAGACCTCTCTAACCAACTCGACAAAGGTCGGACAGTCAACAATATAAGTGTAGGGACGCCACCCAATGACCTAGATCAAGCGATCAAAGTCAACTCTAATATTGAAAAGGTCTAAGGTGGCGGCGTTCCTATATCGGCAGGGTATAATCCGCTGTTCACAACAATCAGCATAATGCCGCTTGTCGGCTGCCCTGGTGAAGTTGAAATTACCCCCAAAATGTGTAGGGTCGGAGATATGAACGCCTCTTTGCCTCCCAAGGCAAGCCCTCCTCCCAGAGTAAGAAGGATCGTGCGAGGGGTCAGAGGCAGGAATGGAGTGCTGGGGAGGAGGGGGCTGAGAAGTTCTAGGTGTCCTAGACCTAGAAGAAGATCGTGGTCACACCATTGGTTCTTAAGATTACTCCAATCGACAAGAGGCAACAATTTCCAACAAATAATGGAAACAGGAAATTCAAAGCCAACAATGTAAAAACCAACAATGCACAATTCAATCAGCCACAGGTTATACGAATACCCCAACACTTATAGCAATTGCAATCAATAAGCACTTGTGGTCCAAATGTAGTCAAATTCAGAATCAAGGCAGTCCAAAGTGCAACAAATGCTCCCAAGAACTTAGTGATTGAAATCAAAGAGACACAATACCCCCAAATAAGGCAAATAGAGACAACCTATTTCAACAAGCAAATGCAAACTGTCTCCAATTGGACAGTCAAGTACCCAATTCCACCTACTAAAATTAGCAAATGACTCAAGAAAATGGCACTCCAGCAACAGCAGTACAGAAGTTGGATAGAAATAACTCAATAAAGATGCCCAGTAGTCAATGAGGCAACCAATAACACAGGAGTAACAAATATTATGTAAACTGCCCTCACCACTACCACTGGTGTATGCACAGGAAAAAATTAAATCAAATGGCCAACCCACTGCACCTGATAAATCCAAACACACCAAGCAGTACCACGAAAAAGCAGAGATTAAAATGGGATCCAATTAACAAATAACTCGCAAATCACCCCAACAATTTCCAAACAAATGGACTGGTACAAGAGCTGTCAAATTTTATCCCCCAGATGCAATAGAAACTTCAAGTAGTCATAACTCAAACAATATTCAACAATATAATGAAGACCAGAGAGTACCCCCAAATGGAGCAGCAAATAAACTTAGTTCCACCAAAATTAACCCCAGAAAATGCCCAAATCACCTCCTGCTTTATCCATCAAGAAACCCACGAAAAGGCACAGAACCCAGCACTTGAAGGTTCAGGGAAAATGCTAAAACAAGGGTAGAAAGTTAATACATCCACCTATCAATTTTGACAGGTGGTGATGCACTGCAAGGAGATGGCGGATAGCAGCGACGGCGGCCAGCGTGCGAAGAAGAGTTGGTGGTGGTCCGTGAGGTGGAGCTTGGAGCTCGGAGGCGGCGACGATGGCAGCTGGTTAGTGGTGTGCGGCTGTGCGAGGTGCGGCGGCGGAGTTGAACGTGCGGCAATAGAGGAGAAAGGGAGAGCTGTTGGCGTCGAACTAAGGAGAGAGTGAGGGAGATGATGGCAGCGTTGATGCGAGGTGGGTGGCGGCGGATGGAGGGCAGTTGAAAGAAGAAATAAAAGAAAAGGGAAGCAGGGCAGCGGGGAAGAAAAGGGAAAGAAAGGAGAAAGAAAGAAAGAAAGAAAAGAAAGAAAAGAAAGAAGAGAAGAAAGAAAGAGAAAAGAAAAAGAAAGAAAGAAGAAAAAGAAGAAAAAAGAAAGAAAAAAAATGGCTTTTGGTCTTTTTGTTTTTGTTTTTTTCCTTTTTGTTTCTTCTTTTTCGAATTTAAATTTCAAGGACAAAAAATGAATTGCTGAGAAAAACTAAACTAAAGGTCAAGAAGAAGAAATAATTTTATAAAATTTTTTTATTTTTTTATTAATTTTCAAAATTTGAATTGCTGAAAGAAAACACAAAACTGAAGGTTTACAAGGAAATTATTTTTTATTTTTTTTATTCAGTTTTTGGGTCGTTGAACACCGCGGGGGCATGCCAAGATTATAAAACATCCACTGACCTTGGGAGACACTAACACCATGCGGGCACGCCAAGATTGCATTTCCTGCTAATGTCGCGAGATGTCGAGATTTTACCAACATGGCATGGGCACGCCAAGATTGGTAAACATCCACTGACCGGAGTCACTGACACCGTGTGGGCACGCCAAGATATCTGTCCTGACCATAGTGGAGGAAAATATTAAGACCGACTATCACCCAAATGAGAAATGACAAAATGAAAGAATTGAGCAACGAAAACAATAAAATCAATATTTGGGTTGCCTCCCAAAAAGCGCATTTCTTTAATGTTTTTGGCTAGACATAGCCCAAAATTTTCTTAAACCAAGCAAATCAGGTCTTCCAATTATATCATCTCCATCCATTCAACCGGAAACCCTTCATAATACAGCTTGAGACGGTGACCATTCACTACAAATTTCTTCTCCGTTTTTAAGATCTAGATCTCCACTGCACCATAATGAAAGACATTAGTTACAACAAAAGGACCGATCCAATGAGAACGTAATTTACCTGAAAATAACTTCAATTTCGAGTAGTACAGCAGAACTTTTTGCCCGCATTCAAACGTCTTCCTAGAGATCTGCTGATCATGAAATATCTTATTCTTTTTCTTATAAATTACCGCATTCTCATACGTTTCATTTCGGATTTCTTCCAACTCTTGTAGTTGCAACTTCCTTTGAATTTCGCCCTCCTCGATGTCCATATTGTACTATTTGACTGCCCAAAACGCTCTATGTTCAAACTCGACCGGGAGGTGGCATGACTTCCCAAATACCAAACAGTAAGGGGACATGCCAATAGGTGTCTTGTACGCCGTCCTATATGCCCATAATGCATCTTCTAGTCTACTATTCCAATCTTTCCTATCGGGTCGGACCATCTTCTCTAAAATCGACTTGATCTTTTGGTTTGATGCTTCCGCCTGACCGTTTGTCTGAGAATGATAGGAAGTGGAGACTTTGTGCAAGACACCGTATCTCTTAAAAACTGCAGCAATTGTCTTGCTACAGAAATGAGTACCCCGATCGCTTACAATTGCTCGCGGCATCCTAAAGCGGACAAAGATGTTAGACTTGACGAACTCTGCAACCACTTTCGAATCATTAGTATGGGTGGCCTTTGCTTCCACCCATTTCGAAATATAATTCATAGCAAGCAATATATACAAAAAATCAAAAGACGAAGGAAAAGGACCCATAGAGTCAATACCCCAAACGTCAAAAATATCAATAAAAATCATGGGAGTCTGAGTCATTTGATCCCTATGAGAAATATTACCTACTCGTTGGTACTTATCACAGGACTTACAAAATGAGTAGGCATCCTTAAAGAGGGTCGGACAAAAGAACCCGCTCTCTAGCACCTTACGAGCCGTTCTCTTTGGTCCAAAGTGGCCTCCACATGCAAAAGAGTGACAATACGTTAAAATTGATTGAAATTCATTCTCACTTACATATCTGCGGATGACTTGATCGGCACCCTGCTTCCAGAGGTAGGGGTCATCCCAGATATAGGACTTAGCATCACTCCTCAACTTGTCCCTCTTTGCCTTGGGCCATCCTGCAGGAAACTTGTTAGTGACTAGAAAATTAACAATGTCCGCGTACTAAGGCAAGGATAAATTAATAGAAAATAAATGCTCATCGGAAAAATTTTCTCTTAAAGGAAGGTTGTCTTCGGCGACTTGTATTTGACTCAAGTGATCGGCTACCAGATTTTCTGCCCCTTTCTTATCTCTGATCTCCAGGTCGAACTCTTGTAGCAATAATATCCACCTTATCAGTCGCAGTTTCGCCTCTTTCTTGGTCAACAGATACCGTAAAGCTGCATGATTAGAGAAAATAATAACCTTAACACCTAGTAAATAAGACCGAAATTTCTCTACAGCAAAAACAACCGCCAGAAGCTCCTTTTCGGTAGTTGAATAGTGCAATTGAGCTCCGTTCAAGGCTCGAGATGCGTAGTAGATAGCATGGACTGCCCTTTCTACTCTTTGACCCAGCATCGCTCCCACTGCATAGTCGCTGGCGTCGCACATGATCTCGAATGGTAGGTTCCAGTCGGGTGGTTGGATAATGGGTGACGAGGTCAATGGCTTCTTCAACCTGTCAAATACTTTCTTACATGCTTCATCGAATTCGAAGGGCACCTCTTTTTGTAACAGTTGGATCAGGGGTGCTCCAATTTTCGAGAAATTTTTGATAAATCTCCTGTAGAAGCCTGTGTGACCCAAGAAAGAGCGCATTTTCCGCACACTAGCGGGGTAAGGTAAAGTAGATATAATATCTATTTTTGCCTTATCAACCTCAATACCCCTAGATGACACTACATGACCCAAAACTATACCGTGTTCAATTATAAAGTGGCATTTTTTCCAATTAAGTACGAGATTAGTTTCTATACACCTTACCAAAATTAATTTGAGGTTATCTAGGCAGTTATCAAAACTCTCACCATACACATTGAAATCGTCCATAAAAACGTCGATGATCTTTTTAACATACTCTGAAAAGATACTTACCATGCATCTTTGGAAGGTAGCAGGTGCATTGCATAATTCAAATAGCATCCTTCGGTAAGCAAATGTTCCAAACGGGCATGTGAATGTGGTCTTCTCCTAATCCTCGGGTGCGATAGCAATCTGAAAATAACATGAAAACCCATTCAAAAAGCAATAGTAAGCTCGACCTGCTAATTGCTCTATCATTTGATCAATGAAAGGGAGAGGGAAATGATCCTTTTTCGTGACGGCTTTTAGCTTTCTATAGGCTATACACTGCCGCCACCCGGTGGGCTTTCGAACTGGTACGAGCTCACTCTCTTGGTTTGACTCCACCGTTACCCCTGCTTTCTTCGGGATCACTTATACTGGACTCACCCATGGGCTGTCTGATATTGCAAATATAATTCCGACGTCCAGCAGCTTTAAGATCTCCTTCTTCATGACCTCCATCATCAACGGATTCAGTCGCCTTTGAGCCTACCGAATAGGTTTAGCACCCTTATCGAGTCGAATCCGATATATGCACACCGCGGTGCTAATTCTCTTGATATCGGCGATAATCCATCCTATAGCCTGTTTATGTTCCCGCAGTGATAAAGCGGTTATCTAGCACATTTTGCACTATTATTCTGTCCTAATTTTGGCTACTCATGGTGCTAAGAATTGGAAATTTGCTCATATTTGATATTTGTGTAAATTGTAGGTGGTTGGTGTTAAAAGTGATTGCGTGAGGCACATTTTCAGAAGACTCTTTATTTTATGACGTGCCCACGCCAGAAATTATAGAGAACACCTAAAGCCGGACCTGCGGGATTGGTGGCAGCAGGGCTAACTAGGAAACCAAGCCCACGTGAACCAGACGCATGGAATCAAAGCCCAGGCTCGAAAAGAAAGTGAAATTGCAGACGTTTCTTGACTCCTACTGGCGGCGGTAACAAAGCAATTACAATAAGCCAGATTCACGGCTTATGTATTGGATTATCTTTTATTTTTGAGGGTCAGACGTCTTTGGTCCTTGGGTCGGCAGCAGCAATTAAGAAGCCAGATTCACGTCTTATCAATTGGAGGATAGCTTGAGTTTCAATTTGGTGTCAGACGTTTTTCTTTCTTGCGCTTGAGCGGCCAATAGGAGCAAGGCCAGATTCACGTGTAAATGATACATTATCTTTAGTTTTCTTTTCCCAGGCACCAGACATCTATTTCCTTTTGACTTTTAGCTCTAGTTCTGGGCAGTTGGGAGAAGCTTTCGGTGGTTATCCCTTGAAGACGATTTGGAGTCTTTGGTTTTTGTTCCTTTTGATTCGTATGCCTTTTGTGAGACCTGGGCTTCTACCTTTTGCTTGGATATAAACACGAAACAAAGTGAAAGGAGGCTTTTCTCCTCGATTCCGTCATTAATTCATCTTTACTAATCTTTGACAATTGTGTGGATGGAATCAATCGAATCACACAAAAATTGATACGATGAGGAGCGGCTAGTTTTCTCCTCTACCCAAAGGTCGACGTGAAGGCGCGGTCCATAATATCTGTGAGATCTAATCGAATCTTCATTATTTCTTCCAACTTGTTGCTATTCGTGCGTTTCCTGGATTAATTGTTCATGGATATTTTATTAATTGAGTATCAATGGCCGGATATTTAATCTAATTCAATAGCCTACTGTCATGTTAACTAAATTGAATCTGTAATTGTTCGTTTAGTTGACAATTGGTGACGACCACCATAATTGGCTTTATGTTGGGGAAATGCATGATCTAGTTTAAATAAACCCTCTTAGCGTGTTTGTTGATTAGGATTGGATTTTTCTAACTTTAATGCAACTGGATAATTAAATTCCTACGGTCGTACCTAGAGTTGTTTTCTGGTTAGAGAAGCAGTCAATGGTCGTACATTGACTGCCGAAAAAGTAAGGAAGAACTGGTTGTCAGAGCTTGTTGATAGCTATAACCAACCTAATGACGGATGAATGGAATATCTCTGCATTGATGATCATTTAAATTGGATCGTACCTGAAAAGTTGATCCTTTAGGTAGAATTTCATTAATTGCTATTTTTAGTAAATTGTACTTGTGGAGTTATCTTTTAAATTTTATTTATTTTATTTTCATTTTCATCCCATTAATCATCCCCCAATTTTATTCTATTGACTTGGAAAGAAATAATTTCCTATCCGTTCCCTGTGGAATCGGCCCTATTTGCCATTGTACGCAAAATTAATATTTTTTTTAGACAAATCTGGTATATTGGATCAAGCAAACTCTTCGGGAACAGGGTGAATCAAGTAACCCATTGCACACCTAGAATCCCTGCTCCAGTACTTGGATTTGTTCTATAATTAATTGTGGTGGTAATTAGGACTTTTTAGTAATTATTATTGCACAGATTCGGCACCTGTCAATTTTTGGCGCCGTTGCAGGGGAGCGGTGTTTTGGTTAATTTTGCTTCTTTCTAAGTCATTTTCATCGAATTTGTCTGGCATTTTTTCTAGTTTATGCCTCGGTCTTCTCGTACAGGTGAATTGATTTTCGATCCGGAGGTAGAGAAGACTGAACGCCGAACTAGGAAAGAGACTAGGCAACTCAGAGAGGAGCCATCCAACATAGCTTTTCAGGAACTAGATCCAGAAATCGAATCAACAAATTCAAGTGGTGATAGTTCAAGAGACCAAGGCCAAGAGGACACCCCTATGGCGAATGCAAGAACACTAAAGGGGAGTTGGCTGCTCCAGAATTGCCCTAACAGTCTTTGTGCATCACATTTCCAACATTGGCTGAAAATACCTCATTCGAATTGAAGTCAGGGCTAATTCACCTATTACCCATGTTTCATGGCCTCTCAGGTGAGGAGCCCCATAAACACATCCAAGAGTTCGATGTGCTATGCTCCAGTATGAAGCCTCCAGGAATTACTGAGGATCAGATAAAACTCAGGGCCTTTTCTTTCTCCCTTAAGGATGCAGCAAAGGATTGGTTATACTACCTACCTGCAGGTAGTATCAGAACCTGGGCCCAACTTAAGAAGAAATTTTTGAAAAAATTCTTTCCTGCATCCCGGGTTGCAAGTCTAAGAAAAGAGATATGTAGCATTAAACAGTATCCTGGAGAATCTCTATATGATTAATGGGAAAAGTTCAATAAATTGTGCACTAGATGCCCACAGCATCAAATTAGTGAACAATTATTGATCCAATATTTCTATGAGGGACTCCAGTCGTCCGATAGGAGTATCATTGATGCTGCAAGTGGGGGAGAATTAGCGAACAAGACACCAAGGGAAGCATGGCTACTCATTGAGTCGATGGCAGAGAATTCTCAACAGTTTGGCTTCTATGAGAGTAACCCTACCCGTAGGGTCAACGAGGTAGAGACGTCATCCATTCAGCAGCAGATATCGGAGCTGACATCTTTCGTTTGACAATTAGCTGTGGAAAACATACATCAAACAAAGGCCTGTGGAATCTGCACAAATGTGGGCCACCCCACTGACTCATACCCTATGTTGCAAGAGGATGGGGTTGAACAAGTAAACATGGTTGGAGGCGTGCTCGCGCCTCGAAGACTGTACGATCCATACTCCAACACGTACAATCCGGGTTGGAGAGATCACCCCAATTTCAGCTATGGGAATAGGCCACAGAATTCATTCTCCAATCGTCCACCAGGATTCCAACAACCGTGGCAACAAAAGTCTCAATCCTCGTCCTCCAGCTCAGAAAGTTCTTTGGAGGAAATTGTCAAGAGTTTGGCAATGATCACCACTTAGCTCCAGCAAGAGACTAGAACCTTAGTCACGACCACTGCTCAACTCCAGCAAGAGACTAGGTCCTTGGTCGCGAGCACTACTCAGTTTCAACAGGACACCAAAGCAGGCATGAAAGACATGGAGACTCGAATGAGTCAAATGGCAACTGTCATTAATCGCCTGAAGTCCCACGTCTATGGAAAATTGCCTTCGCAGCCTGAGGCAAACCCCAGAAATGTAAGTGCCATGACATTAAGGAGTGGCAAAGAGGTGGAGGGGCCTAAGGCCACGAACCTGAAAAGTAAGAATGAAAAGGAGATGGAAGAAGAAGGATGCATCTGTGGCAACCCTGCGGTAACTCTTACTCCATATGTGCCCTTTAAATCTAATTTATCCCCTTTTTCATGCAGGTTAGAGAAGACGAAGAAGGCGAAAAAGGAGAAAGAGATCCTGGACGTATTTAGAAAGGTGGAGATCAACATCCCATTGTTGGAAGCAATCAAGCAAGTACCAAAGTACGCGAAATTTCTCAAGGACCTGTGCACCCATAAGAGAAAGTTGAGAGGGGATGAAAGAATAGTAATGGGAGAAAGCGTATCAGCCATACTCCAAAGAAAGCTCCCACCCAAATTTGGGGATCCAAGTATGTTCACGATCCCTTGTAAGATTGGAAATACGCCGATCAGGAAGGCCATGTTGGATTTAGGGGCGTCAATCAATGTGATGCCAAAAACCATTTATACGTCTTTGAATCTAGGGCCACTAAAAGAGACGGCCATCATAATCCAACTAGCCGACCGCACTAATGCCTACCCTGAGGGGCTAGTTGAGGATGTCTTGGTTCAGGTAGATGAATTAGTCTTTCCTGCAGATTTTTATGTCCTGGACATGGGGGATGAAAAGTCGTTAAATTCGTCGCCTATCTTGTTAGGTAGACCGTTTCTTAGCACTGCCAGGACTAAGATAGATGTGAATGAGGGTACTTTATCAATGGAATTTGATGGTGAAAGGGTACATTTTAATATTTTTGAGGCGATGAAGTATCCAGAGGGTTCTAACTCAGTCTTTGCTTTGATTGTTATTGAGCTTCTTGTACAGGAAACTTTCGAGTTGGATGGTAAAGACGCATTGGAAGTGGCCCTGACAAAGCATCTCGAGTTGGGAGTGACCCCTGATGTGGACATGAGGGATAAGTTGCATCGAGCAATTGAACCTTTACATTCACTTCCAACCATTCATCCAAGTTATGGGCTCGCTTCCCTTTTTGTGCCAGAAACTCATACAAGATTATTGCCATCGGTGGTGCAGGCACCAGAGTTAGACCTTAAACCTCTCGCGAAACATCTGAAGTACGCGTTCCTGGGAGACCGAGAAACACTACCGATAATCATTTTTGCTCACCTGTCTCCAAGTCAAGAGGAAAGACTGGTGCGACTCCTTAGAGATTATAAAGAGGCAATCGAGTTGAGCATAGCAGATATCAAAGGGATAAGCCCTTCGGTATGCATGCACCGGATAAGACTCGAGAATGATGCAAAAGTGGTAAGGCAGGCACAGCGGAGGTTGAACCCCTTAATGATGGAGGTTGTGAAAAAAGAAATACTCAAACTCCTGGAGGTGGGGATCATCTTCGCTATCTCAGACAGTCCTTGGGTGAGCCCCATTCAAGTGGTCCCGAAAAAGGCAGGGGTGACTGTAGAGGAGAACTAGGAGGGTGACATGGTCCCGGTTAGGAAAGCTACTGGCTGGCGTCAGTGCATTGACTACCGGAGACTAAATTCCGTGACGAAAAAGGACCATTTTTCTTTACCTTTTATTGACCAAATGATAGAAAGATTGGCTGGTCGTGTTTACTATTGCTTTTTGGATGGTTTTTCAGGGTACTTCCAGATCGCGATAGCACCAGAGGACCAGGAAAAGACCACATTCACCTGCCCATTTGGTATGTTTGCTTACCGTAGGATGCCTTTCGGTCTTTGTAATACTCCAACAACTTTTCAACGGTGCATGGTAAGTATTTTCTCAGAGTCTGTAGAAAAAATAATTGAGGTGTTCATGGATGATTTTAGCGTATACGGGGATAGTTTTGATGAATGTCTTGATAATCTAGCTTTAATTCTGAAACGGTACATAGAAACGAATTTGGTTCTCAACTAGGAGAAGTGTCACTTCATGGTCGAACATGGTATTGTCTTAGAGCACGTTGTGTTGGCTAAGGGAATAGAGGTAGATAAAGCTAAAATAGACCTTATTTCTGCTCTATTACCTCGTATGTGTACGGGAAGTACGTTCTTTTTTGGGCCATGCAGGGTTTTACAGGAGGTTTATCAAAGACTTTTCAAAGATAGGAGCACCCTTGTTCAAGTTGCTGCAAAAGGACATGACATTTGATTTCACGCATGAATGCAAAGTAGCATTTGATAAATTGAAGGAGTCGTTGACATCGCCACCCATTATTCAACCCCCAGATTGGAGTCGGCCGTTTGAAATTATGTGCGACGCAAATGACTATGCCGTAGGGGCCGTATTGGGGCAAAGAATTGGAAAACCGCCAAACGTGATTTACTACGCATCAAAGGCATTGAGTGGAGCCCAACTTAACTACTCCACGACGGAGAAAGAATTCTTAGCCATTGTTTTTGCACTAGAAAAATTTAGGTCATATCTATTAGGTGCAAAAGTAATTGTTTTCTCTAACCATGCAGTCTTGAGGTACCTGTTGGCGAAGAAGGATGCAAAATCGAGACTGATCAGGTGGATTTTACTCCTGCAGGAGTTCGACTTAGAGATCAAGAACAAAAGCGGAGTCGAGAACTTGGTAGCTGATCATCTGAGTCGGTTGCTCACGAATAAGGAGGATCTGCCATTAAGTGAGTCATTTCCAGAGGAGCAATTGCTAACCATTGATTCGTTCGTACCATGGTATGCCGACATTGTAAATTTTTTGGTAACGAATCAATTTCCTGCAGGTTGGCCAAAAGCTAAGGGAGATAAACTGAAGAATGATGCCAAACATTATATTTGGGATAACCCTCACCTGTGGAGGCAATACTTGGATCAAGTGCTAAGAAGGTATGTAAGTGCCGGTGAGTTTCATTTTATTTTGACTTTTTGTCATTCATTTGCATGTGGAGGGCACTTTGGTCCAAAGCGGACGGCTCGTAAAGTGTTAGAAAGTGGTTTTTATTGGCCTACCCTGTTTAAAGATGCATATTCATTCTGTAAATCTTGTGATAAATGTCAAAGGGTGGGGAATATCTCTCGTAGAGACCAGATGAGTCAGACTCTCATATTATTTGTTGAGATTTTCGATGTCTGGGGTATATATTTCATGGGTCCTTTTCCCTCATCCTTTGGTTTCCTATACATTATACTTGCTGTCGATTATGTTTCCAAATGGGTGGAGGCAAAGGCCACTCAAACTAACGATTCGAGAGTGGTTGCAGAGTTTATTAAATCTAAAATTTTTGTCCGTTTTAGAATGCTGAAGGCTATAGTTAGTGATAGGGTCACCCATTTCTGCAATGTCCACAAAGCACGCCGTTGTGGACACTTTGCAGAGTCACCCATGTCTAGCCAAAGACGTTAAAGAAAGACGCTGCTTGGGAGGCAACCCAAGGAATATAAAATTAGTTGTGGTCAATCTTCATTACTTTGCAATTTTTCAGCTGTATTTTTTCTATTTTAATTGCTTTTGTGGTGATGGGCAGAAAACTAGGGGTTTCAAGGCGTGCCCACGCCTTGAAAGGGGTATGCCTGATGCGAGCTGCAGCTTGGAGACTACCGGCTCCAGGGCATGCCCACGCGTTGATGGAAGCTCTTTTGGACATCTTCTTGAGGCGATGATCAGAAGACCATGTTCTGCAAGGCGTGCCCACGCCCTTCTACCTCTCCGCTAACGAAAGTAAAAAAAAAATTGACTTTTTGACCCATACCCTATCTTTCCACTATTTTTTCTCTTTTGTTTGGTTTTGTCTAGTTCCCAACCTATCCCTTAGTCTTCGTCTCAGCAGTCTTCTTCTTGTTCCTGTGAAGACTGCCGCCACCTTTCACCGCTGCACCCAACGCCGCACTGCGCCTCCCTCCTCCTCGCGCGACACACCAGATCTGGTCACCCACTGCGAGAGTAGCCGCCCCCTTGCGTGAGCAGTAGCTCCAGCCCAGCAAGCCCTGCGCGCACCCAGTCCCTAGCAGGCGCGAGCCACGTTCACGGCCGTAGTGCGCGAACCAACGCGCACGCCTCTGCGCACGTGACTTGCAAAGCAGTGGCGCCCCCCTCTCGTGCCCAGCCTTGCGCGCCCGTGCGTAGCTCCAGCAGGCGCGACTCTGCTCCGCGTGCCTAGCCACGCCCAGCAGCGCATTCCAGCAACACCCGCGCGCACGAGCAGCGCGCTATCTTCCTGCCAGTCACCGTACAAATGGCATGCGCACCAGCGCGCCCCCTCTTGGGCCCAGAGCTCCAGCTGCACCTGGCCGCCCTGCCTCCAGAACGCGCGACCCCGAGTAGCGCGCACTTGCTGCGCGCGACAGCCCCTCCAGCGCCATAGTCGCCCGTGGCCAGCCCGCAGTAGCGCGCACCAGCTCCTCGCGTGACCCTCTAGAACAGCGCGCCTCAGTGCATGCGACCCGCGCACAGTAGCGGCCGCAACCAACCTTCACCGCGCGAACCGTACAGCTCCACCAGCGCAGCTCCAGTCGCGGCGCGCAACCCTTGGGCTCCTCTTCCCCTCGTCGTGCGTCACCACCACGGCATCCTTCAGCGTGGACCAGAAAATAAAAGTGGTACCCCTATTTTACTAAATTTTTGGTCAATTGGTCTTCGCATTTGGAATTTTATTGCTGTCTTTGACTCGGATTGGGATTTGCTATATCTGTGGGTTCTGGTGAATCGGATATTTGGTACACTTGACAAGTTATTCACCCTCTGTTAGCTATATTTGACTGATATATTCATTGATTTGGGTCTCAATTTTGCTTGGCTTAGTTATTGGTTGCCTAGTGACGCCAGTAAAGGATTATTGTGTCGATCTGTCTTTGTTTGGTGGGGTAATTGTGCGCCCTTGTTGCTATTGGCTCTCTGATGGTTGATTGTTGATTGTATCTGTGACGGTGGTCCCATGCCCCCTTTTTGGTGGTTGTCAGCTATTTCTGTGCTTATTTATATTAATTTCTGGGTCTTTGAATGCCTTCAAAGAAGGCAACAACTGCCGGGCCATCTGGGTCCCAACCTCGTAAGAGGCGAGCCCCGGTTCAGCCCCCCATTCGGTCTCGTTTGAGCCTGAATAAGAGCACTATGTCTCCTGGGGAATGGGGGAAACCGGTCGCTAACCTCACAAGGGTACAACAGGACCGGTTCAATAGCTTGATGCACCGTCCTTTTGCTCCCTGTAAGTGCTTCCATGCCCCAACCCTAAATCATTTGTAAATTGCACGAGAAGTTAAACAGTTGTTCTCAGCAATAGGTTGGCAAAAGTATCTAATCATTGACTACCTTACGTTTGAGGAGTTGTGTTGTGAGTTTTACTCCACCTTCGAGTTCATCAAAAATGAATTCATCACTTTGGATGAGCCGGAGATTATTCAATTCAAATTAAGAGGCACCCAGTTTAGTATGTCCATTAATAAGTTTAATCTAACTTTGGGATTTGTTAGTGAGGATACCATTGCATCCGGAGCATATATTAACAGTACGTGTGACTACACCAGACCGTTTTCTACTGATTACATTGACATTTGGAGGGAGTGGTCCACGGATCGTCAACTTTACAATCCGAGTCAGTCCAAGGCCTCTCATCTGAAGGATCCGGTCTTGAAGGTCATCCACAGGTTCTTGGCTCACAATTTCTCGGAACGGAAGGATTCATTCGGCACTCTTACCAAGGCAAAATTTTATTTTCTTTGGTGCATGCGAAACAAAGTCCAGGTTAACTTTTGATGTTGGGTGGCCACTCAGATGCAATCAGTCATTCAAAAGCGCAATAAACCGTTGATTTTGGACTCGCTCATTACTCACTTGGCCATTCGATTGGGATTGCTTGACCTCGACCAAGAGCACAACTTCGCTCTAGCTCGAAAAATTGAGCTCCTGGATTTGCGCAGCTTGGAGTGGATGGGGGTTATTTTCAAAGTGGGAGATGTCTATCAGTTTACGCCTCTGGGCGAGGACGGGCCACAGCCCCGGGTTCCTCCGACTGCTCCGTCCACTAACTCTCCACCCCGTCCGGATCAGGCGGGTCCTTCCTCCTATCATACTCCTCTTGTTTGGGACTCCCACTACCAGAACCTCCAAGATTCCTTTCATGAGCTAAACACCCAAGTGTCGAGATTAGATAGCCGTCTTGCAGCGCTACAGGTCTTCGCCCGTATTCAGGCAGAGAATCAAACGGCTTCCTTCGCTCACATTGGATTCACCACGTCTCATCCTCCGCCTTAGTATTTCGGTGCCCCTTCTCGGTGGTCAGGAAAGTTTTTCTCCTTTTCTCCAAATACTTCATTCATCTTTTCTACATTGAGGACAATGTAGGTATTAGGTGTGGGGGGATGGCTTCCATTATTATCTCCTTTTTCTTTGCTTTTAAAACAAAAAAAAAGGAGGAAAATGAAGAAAAAGGAAAAGAAAAAAAAAGTGTAGTTAGTTGACTTCTCTAGTCCTAGTCCTACATTTGTTAACTGCTAGAACATGTTGCTATGATGGATTGCACAATCAAGGT